TCTTCTCCTGGCATTCAAATAAATTATCAACACAGAGAATGTTAGATTCATCGTTCCAAATAACTGAATCTCATTGACGTTGAACCTACTTTAGGTGCTTTTTTACTCAGAAAAATCGGTTTCTTATTTGTTTCTTTGTTTGAAGTGGGTTTTTCTTTTCCTTAAGTGTGATGATAAGTTTTATTATTTAAGATGAGTGTTGTTTGCAAAAACTTAGCTTTTAGAATCCATACTACATTTTTTTTATTGTCTTTAAATAAGTATCTTTGGAAATTGGTCTACCAACAGCATGACACATCTTACAGCCAATTCTCGAGATGGAGCTCAGCGATCTTGTTTAATAAGTATCCGAATAGCAAGCTCATATCTTTCGGTATTCTTTGAAGTACGACCAGTTTCAACTTTTGTTTTACCATTTCTAATTTTTTTTCATTATGAAATTATATTTCTCACAGATCCTCGACAAATACTTAAATTTTATGTCCAGAAGTTCTCTGTTTTGGGCTGTAGTAACGGAATTCCGTAAATCGTTAGATGAACATTTTCCGTAAACCATTTTCACAAGCAGCTAGAGATGAGAGCAAGACAGTGAGACGCAAAATTGTAATAAATGAAGAAATAATAGAACAAGTATCGAAATTAAACTATCTGAGAAAGCAAATATGATATTATGAAAACATCTAAAAAAAAAACTGCATACAAGCTAATAAAGCAGCATACGTATCAGGAGACGTGATATTGAGAAATAAGAACATGAGGATAGAAGGAACAACAAGCATATATAAGACTTGTGTACGACCGATAATAACGTGTGATATATAAACAAGAGCAGAAACAACAATTACAAAGAAACTCTCAAGAAGAGCTTAGATGAAAACACTGAGGGCGATAGCAGATAAGACTTTAAGAGACAGAATCCCTAATACACAAATCACATTAACAGAATAGGAAGAAAGAGACTTGCCCGAATAAAAAGAGATGAAAAACCAGAACTTAAAAGACCAAGCAGTCAATATCGCAGATACTGCTAAATCAAACCAGAAACAACAAGGCCTAACATACGACCAAGATCACTTTTTTCCGAGTAGTATAGTTTGTGAGCTGCCACTTATATTTTTCCAGAATCTGGCCATCCCATGATTTCTGTATGCATTCTTTTCATCTCCTGTATTACATTGTATATTTTTCCTGTTTGTATAAGATTTTGACATTCCAGGTGCAGAACTTGATATTCTTTCTGCACTTTAATTTATTCCTTTTTCCTGAACTAAAACTGTCCTCCACGGAATCCCGATCAGAGGAGTTACTCCTCAATTTATTATAGTATTGAGCATTGCCATGATTGATTTACTAGCGCACGTCACAATGGATCTTTAATGGGATGTTTGCCCTACTTCTGCTTCCCCATCCTTATGCCGTTGACCAAATCTTTAGTTCATTTGTCTACGGGACCGATTTCACATCTTTAGAAAAAAAGGGAACGCTACAACTTACCAAGTGTAAGTTTCATTCACCCGAAGAATTTGGTCAATAAGTGGGTGATTGCTTATACCGGCAATCATTCGGTGAGTGACTCGCCACGCTGATAAAACAGATTGGCGAGTGGAAAAAAAACATTAAAGTATGTGAGTGTGTAGAGGTACAAGTTAAGCGGTTTATGTCATCATGTAGAGATCATTAAGCATAACTGAACAATATTACGATATGTTCGTTTTACTTTTTATATGTTCTACGCATAGTTGACAAGCATTTTTACCATTCTTTATTTTATTGTAGGTACTCACTGAGAGTTATGAATGATAACTGAAGATGTTTTGATGTTTTAACATTATATATACAGATTGAACGAAATAAATTCCGAACATACGAAATATTATGTATTTCGGCTCAATTCTGCTGTAGGTGGTTGACCAACAAAAGGTTGTCAAATAATTATATTATAAAAATCCAATACTTCCGCGGGCTGCTGTATTCTGAAATCATAAAAATTGAAAGCTACACATAAATCTTCGATTTTATTATGCTGTCAAACCACTTATAGTCCAGGAAATGAAGCATTTCACCTCGCAATTTTTTCGTCCTGCGTGGATTGACTTGAAATTTTAACAGAAGGTAGATAATAGCCAAGGATCAAAATCTATATCGAACCAAAATGCGCCAAAGCCTTGGGGGTGGTTGCCACCCCATCTCGGGAATGAAATTTTTTTTACGTTTTAACTACAGGTTTCGATTAAAAAAGTGATTCTAAACAAAAAATGTTCCATACTTTATTTTTGTAAAACTGATATTTTTCAAGTTATTCGCGATTGGAAGTAACAACTTTTAGACGAAAAAATCGACGTTTTTAATCGATTTTTCGCGAATAACTCAAAGATGGTGGATTTTAACAAAAAAATTGTAGAAAACAAATTTATAGATTTTAATAAGACAAATACAATTCATTTTTGAAAATGTTTTTGCGATGTAACAGGAACCGAAATAAGGCCTATCAATGTTCAGCGGTTTTCTTCAAATGCCAAATTTGAAAGATTCAAAGTCAAATATCGGGAAAATGATGCATTTTTGGAAGAAAACTCACAAAACCTTTTTTAAAGAGCATAAATAGACCTATCATAAAAAAAGACTTTGGCTCAAAAATTGAGTGCATTATGATGAAAATAAGGTTAATACCTTATTTTTTTACGAAAAATCGATGAGAACAACCCAATAACCAACCCCATAATTAAACTCGATCTTCACCCTTCTGCAATTCTCTTTGCAAGATATTGTTAATACGTCCAAGAAGTTTGACCCATTTAAAATGCTTAGTTTTAGAAAAAGTACAGCATTAAGCGAGAAGCGATTTACAATTTCATATTTTTTACCCTTCTTTTTTTAAATATCCCCGAAAATACTAAATATATGAAAAAAAATAAACTAAATTGTAGCTTTTTTAATGAGTAAAATTTTCCTTTATTTAGATTTATTGTACAATGAATATTTGGCGGATTATAGCCGTTTAAAGCATCGATTTACGATCAAGCACCATCTTTTTCCAGCCCTTTAAACTCATCCCATTTAAAAACCAAGGGTTCCAAAATATTTAATTCACAGATCCTTGTAGCTCTTAAAAATCTCTACAAAATCGTTTTTAAAGAAACACTCTATCGTTAAAAATGAAGGAAATACGTTAAAAAAAACAATTAATTTTATTTCCGGAAAATTTCATTAGTATAGTACAGTACATTTCGGAGCATAATAATCTACAAAACCGGTATATTAGGTAGTGGGGCGTTATACATTCGAAATTTTAAGCGTTCTTATTTTGAAATCCCATACAACAGAATAAAACATCTACTCATATGTCTATGGCTTGGCAATGAAAATATCAACAGATTGGGGATGGTATTCCAAAGATGGTTTGTTATTACCCGTACGCATGAATAAACAACCTGCACCCGATAAACTTTTGAAAATTATTTTTTGCCAATGCAAAAAAGGATGCGGCGTTTCATGTGGGTGCAGAAAAGTTGGTTTATACTGTAACTCTACTTGTTCTAGGTGCTCAGGTGAAGGGTACAATAATAGTCCACCAATAATTGAAGAAGATGAGAATGACATAGATCACGATGAAGATGTAATTGATGACGAATGAAATTAATATTACAATTGTTTTACCTATAAATGTAAATATTTTCAACTATTTATGTAAATGTATAAGAATATATGGTGCCTTTTTATGTTGATATATTTTTTTGTATTTAATTCTACTTTTTTCAATTTACATCTATTAAATTAGTTTATGAAAACTGCAATGTTGTAAAGGGTGATTTTCAAAAGTTGAAAATTTGCAAAATTTTGGCAAAAAATTGTTTTCACCTATAGCACTCATAAAAATTGATTTTTAAGGGTTGAAAATGTATGAAATTGTATTTTAAAGTATAAAAAAATCACTATTAATCCAAAATATTTTCACCACTAAGAACAATCAGGGTTCATCGGCATGACATAAACTATAAAGCAGAGGGTGAGTTGAGCTCAATTCCAAATTTTTATACAAATCATTCCAAGGCGAAATTATTTTCTTCGCATTACTACTTTTTTTTACATTAATCTCCAAAAAGGGTCGCTTTTTTAAGGGTTGAAATATGATGGAACTTTATTCAAAAGCAAGAAAATATCATTATTTAATTAATTCAAACCAAATTTTACCCATATTCAGGTTTAATATGTTATTTTATAATTTTTGACAATTACAATTTGACAATTTTGGTAGTTTTTACCCCTAAGAACAATCAGGGTTCATCGACATGACATAAACTATAAAGCAGTGGGTGAATTGAGCTTAAATCCAAATTCAAACCAAATCTTACCCATATTCAGGTTTAATATGTTATTTTATAATTTTTGACAATTAGGGGTAGTTTTCACCCCTAAAACCCTTCAGCGCACTTCGGTTCGATATAGATTTTGATCCTTGGGCTATCACCTACCTTCTGTTAAAATTTCAACTCAATGCATGCAGGACGAAAAAATTGCGAAGTTTTAACTTTTTTCGAGCTTCATGTCCTGCTATTATCGCTTCCTTTACGCAAACAACATTGTTCCGAGACAGATAGTTGAACAATATTTTATACAATGTCTATACTCAGGTATGGATTTATTTTTGTCCAAGTTTTATATTGGTCCACTATTTCGAATACAGTTCAAACAGACATATCTTAAATTGTGTGATCCGTTTTAAATTCGTTCAATCTGTATGTGGCTGCTATGAATTTGTTTAGCTAAAATGTATAGCCATTAAAATTTTGTATATTTATTATCGGAGATTTTTCTAAAAGAATTAAATATCGTCAAACAAGTTCCACAAAGTTAGAGTTCACCTTATTTTATTGAAAAGTGTATGTAAATTCTATCTTTCCAAAATAACTAAATTAGGCACCTCCTTAATAACTTTAACAACAAAACTTAAGTGTCCTATATTTTTAATAAAATAAATTAATATAAACTATTATAATTACCCTAATCCTCTGGTTCCACGCGGCCTTTCTGATTGAGTTGAAAAAGCACTGCTGGTAACTGACGCGACACTTTCCATATCACTATCAAAATCCACTAAGCCTAAGGGATCCCGTTCTCTTTCTTTTTCGGGTGAGAAGCATCTTCTGGTGTTGAATCTTGAATGATTGGCTAGATCACTGTCACTTAAACCACTATACCTCCTCTCCCAGCCAGATCCTGTACTTCTATAAGTATGCATATACCTAAAACAAATAAAAATTGAAATGTGATACATTAGTTTCATATTAAAACTATTCATCTTTAAATAGGTAAAAAAGAAATGAATAATATTGTTCTGAAGTTATTTTCTTGTGGCATTTTAAATTAATTACTATTTAACTGGGAATAAGCCACAATTAAAGATAAAAATACGTTTATTGACGTTTCAATTTCCACTTTGGAAATCGTTTGTATTTTGAGAACGATTTCCGAAGTGGAAACTGAAACGTCAATAAACGTATTTTTATCTTTAATTGTGGCTTATTCCCAGTTAAATAGTAATTAAGAAATAAATAAGACTTACAATCAGTTTAATTTAACTACCTAGACGAACGGTTTCACTTTCTACAATTTATAAAGCATCTTCAGGTCAGTCGATGCAAAGTTAAATAAATGATGCCGGTAGACGATTTATTAATGATTGGGAGAATATAGTTCAAACTATCCTGTAATTGCTGATGATGGGGATTTTCAGTTTTTCCTATTGCAACTGTTTGATTGATAATTAACGGGGAACTTTCTTGAGGAGATATATATATATATATATATATATATTAACCAATGTAGTAGAAAAAACACAACTTCAAGCCATTCAAGACTCTAATGGAGAAGTAAAAACCGACATAGAGAGCATCGCAGAGACCTGGAAAAATTACTGGTCAGAATTAAACAAAGACACTTCAAAAGATGACGCATCAGTCTCAGAACACAAAAAACATGCAATCAGAGAGGCTGAACCAATCATTTTACGAGCAGAAGCAGATAGTAAAAAAAGCGAGAGAACATAACATACCAATGTTGCTCTGTTTTGTAGATTACACAAAGGCTTTTGATTCAGTAAAATGGGATCCTCTCTGGAGTATAATGGAAAATATGGGAGTACCTAACCACCTAGTTAACCTAATAAGAAATCTGTATAATAAAAACTCAGCCAAAGTTAAAGTACATGGAATATATTCAAATGCATTCAAAACAGAGAAAGGAACTAGACAAGGTTGCATACTATCACCATTATTGTACAACATATATTCTGAATATATAATGAGAAAAGTACTAGATGAATGGGATGGAGGAATCACTATAGGAGGCAGAAAAATCAATAACCTGCGATACGCAGATGACACACTTATACCAGCATCGAATGAAGTCGAAATGATTACCATCATCGAACGGCTAAGCCGAATAAGTGAAGAATTCGAACTTCAAATCAACACAGGAAAAACAAAAATAATGATTGTAGACAGAGCAAATAATAATCTACCGCATATACGCCAAATAGGAATTTTCGAAGTAGTCGACAGATTTGTATACTTGGGCTCTCTGATAACCAACAATGGTGATTGTTCCTCAGAAATCAAACGTAGACTAGGAATGGCCCGAACCGCAACTGCTAAATTAATTAAAATATGGAAAGACCGAACAATAACAAGGAATACTAAGCTCAGGTTGGTCAATGCCCTTATTTATTCCATTGCTACATATGCAGCTGAAACATGGACTCTCAAAAAAATCGATAGGAGTAAGATCGAAGCCTTCGAAATGTGGGTATATAGAAGAATTCTACGCGTGTCCTGGACAGAACATAGAACCAACCTGTCAATTTTGGAAGAGCTTCATATAAAAGACAGGCTACTAAAAAAAGTAAACCAAGCATACCTAACTTACTTCGGCCACATAGCTAGAAGAACCGGCACCATGGAACTATTGGTAGTAGAAGGAAAGGTAGAAGGCCGAAGACCAAGAGGAAGATCTCCAATACGATGGGTAGACCAAATGAAGAGTTTGGTGGGAAAATCCCTACATGAAGCCGTCCATATGGCACAAGATCGCAGTCAATGGAGACAGCAGACTAACAATATTTAGGGTGTCACTACGCCCTGACAAGGGCTAAAGGATTGAGGAGAGGAGTAGAAAAAAGGTATAATGTGATTGTTTGTTAAATGAAAGTGATGTTTTGTATTATTTATTTCATTAAAAGGTATTTATATTTATTCAAGAGATATTTTTTCAAAATGTGTGTTAATTTATTGATTTTTTTTAATAAGGTGATAGTTGTATGACAAAGAATAAAACTAAATGTACAATTGTGCGGGTATGCAATTCCTTTAACTTGTAATTATCAAATCTCTTTGATAAAATTTAATTAGATTACTCTTGTTTGGCAGATAATCGCAATGTCAAATATGTTAAAATTATTAAAACTAAACGAATTAAGGACACTTAGGGACAAACAGAACACACTTAAAAGGACCAAACAGACATTAAATTTAAAATGGGGGACTTAGGAGGAGGGTGGAGGAAATGTCACTACATCTCTGAATTGGAGAAAATGAGTTTTTTGTTGTCTAATAGATTTTTTGACAAAAAATTTACAGACAAACATAAAGAGACAAAAAATACATTGAATTTATTAAGGCTAAATACTGGTACTAGAAAGCAGTAGTTAAGGTGAACGATATAGAAACAAATAACATACCGATTACGAGAGGGGTCAGACAAGGATGCGTCTTGTTTCCGAAGCTTTTCAACGTGTACTCACAGGTAGGTCATATTCAGAAAAGCCTTATGGGAAAGAAAAAAAAATAAGAATTGGTGGAAAAATCGTAAACACCATGAGATTTGCAGATGACACGGTAATTGTGGCTGAGAGTATGGAAGAACTTTACTAGATGCAATAAATAGTGAATGCATTCAAATGGGACTTGACATCAACAGAGATAAAACCAAATTTATGATAGTATCAAGAAGTCCAATAAATAATGAACAACTAACCCTTGGTGGACAGCAAATAGAGAGAGTGACAAAATATAAATATCTGGGAGCTTACGTCAACACAAAATTGGATCCAGACCAAGAGATCAGGGTACCAATAGAAATGGCAAGGGCAGCTTTCTTAAAATTCAAGCAATTGTTCTATGACAAAAATCTGAATACTGCACTGAGACTAAGATTTGTTGAATGTTACGTCTGGTCCCAACTATTGTACAGGGTAGAAACATGGACGTTAAAAGCGCAAATACTTAAGAAGCTTGAAGCCTTTGAACTTTGGATATACCGGAGAATGTTGGGAATTCCATGGACTGCCAGGGTCACCAATGAGGAAGCGCTGAGAAGGATAGGTCGAGACAAAAAATTGTTGAAAAAAATAAAAGTACGCAAGACTATATACCTTGGACACATTGCGAAATATTCTAGACTGGACAAACATGACTCTAGACGAATTATTCCATATTGCAAAAGACAGAGATACTTTTAGAAATGTGATACCCAACCCTCGTTAATGGGGACCGCATAGGAAGAAGAAAAAGCCTGGGTGTTATACCCGATCTAACCGCTAAAATTATGTCTGAAAAAGTAGGGGTTTGAACAATGTATCCTTCAAATATTGACTTGTGGTGCAGAAACTTAGATCAAGAGTATGACATGGAGCGAGACATAAAGCGGTAAATGATGAGATTACCGCAAAAGATATAAAAATGAAAGTCTTAGTGTTTAACCAAAAAAGTGATTACAGTAAAGATACTACGTCTAAAGTGGAACTGGACTAGACACGTGGCGAGAATAAATAATTCTAGAATAGATTACACGCTAGGTCCAAACGCATAATGGAATAGTGTCTTAGATTTCAGATCTAAAGAGTTAAGAGGGCGTATGCTATAAAGAACTACAAACAATTGTATTTATACGGCACAACATCGGGAGCATTGTAGACAACTGACAGAGGCCTATGTTCAGTAGTAGACACGGTACACGTTGTGATGACGATGGTAATAATACAAACTATATTATACGTCCAACGTTATATAGTTCACAAGCTAAAACTTGATATTTTTTTAATGATTACATATTATTTTTAATGAAAACATAATCAGCATCATACAATAATCATGGTAGGATTTGTTTATATAAGATGAAGTATCCTATTCCGTAATAAAAATTCATTTAATGACTATTTATCACTATTTTATGGAGTAAATCCTAGTATATTAATTCGTTATAATACAAAACTTATGTTCTTACCTCATCCTATTTCTGGTACTGATACTGGTCCCTTCCAAGTCCTGCGATACTCTCTCCTGTAGCGCTCTGGCGAGCGCTTGTGGCACTTGAGGGAGCTGGCGTTTTTTCGGCGAGCCGGTAGGTGTCGCTGTGGCACTTCGCGACTGAAACCGCGACATTTTGTACGTAGTAGGGGTGTATTCGGTAAGGCGGACGTCCGGTGGCGAGAGCGATCGGTGGTCGGTAGCGGAACGTCGGGGTGATTTCGAACGGGAACGAGATAAATGGACGCTGGGAGAATCGCAAGGAGCCGCTGAATGGGATCGGTGACCAACCATTCCGGTCTAAAATAGATGTTAAAAATATTATAGAAATACAGCCATTCTTTAAAAGTAAAATATACCTTTATTGGAATATTATTTAATCACACATTAAATTATGGCATTTTTTTTTTCATCGACATCAATCAATGTTAATCGTTTAAAAATCGATTAATACCGCTAGATAACTTACTTTTAAAAGTTTCTCTTAGTTTTCCATACGCTGCCCAATGAACACAACTAATTATTCTCTTGAGTTAATGTGTCTGATTATACCTGACAATTTTAGTTCCATGTCTTAGGTATTTATATTAATCTAAGATTTCTTATATACCAGTACTGACGTTATGGTTGGGTACCAAATTACCCCGCAACTATCCTTATGGAAAAGGGACCCCTAAAATCTGCAGAAATTTAACAAAATTTTTGCAGATTTTAGTTGAATGTATCGTAAATCGTATTAAGTAGCAACCAATCTGGATACTTAACATTGGGTTGATGTCTTGCAAAGCTTAAAAACCATAATACATTGTTAAAAACCACAAGTACCCACACTTCTCAAACCATATTGACAGGTACTGTAGTACCCGCTAATTGAGTCTTCTGCAGGCACATATTCATCATTTCTTTCATCAACCGTGTAGGAAATGAATATTTGTTCTTCTGTAGCTTGTTGAAACCAATCTCTAAAATTTTCGAACTCTTAAAAATCTAAGTTTGTCTATTTTCTCATCAATTTGAAACTTTTCGTTATTATCTCTAATTATTTTATCTTGTATGTAAGACGGTACAAATTTAATCTAATATACCCTAAGCGTAAGGTCCTTTAGATATTCTAATCATCATTATAATGCCTTCGTCATTGAACATTTCTTCTGTTTTCTGTTCTTTCAATAATTTCATATACACGGTTGGCCAAACTCATAATTATCAATGTTCACCAGAATTAAATATTTTTTATACAAATTCAGTTTGAGTACTTTCGTATTCAGCTGGTTTAGGTCACCTGATAACCGGTCATAGGATCATTATATTTATAGTCAGGAATCGATACTAGTTCCGTTGCTCTTTAGAGGCTCCAACCAAATGCCATAAAAACAGAGATTTCTAGCTTCCACTGTAAAAAGAATAATTAACATACAATTATAAAACAACACACTTGTCTCCAATAAAACGCCAAACTATCTAGGGGTGACCCTTTTCTTCTTCATGTACTATGTCCTTTCAGAACTTTGGTTACCATTATAGCTATCTTAATTTTATTTACTGTCCCCTAAATAGCATGATTGTGTCAATATGATACCAATCTCGCAATTTCTTTAACCATGAAATAATTATTATTTAAATGGGAATAAGCCACAATTAAAGATTTTTCAATAAAAAACCACAGAGAAAATGGACGTGGGTCGCGCCCAATGGTTTAACAAAAAATGAGATTGATTACATCCTATCCAAAGAAAAGAGCATAGTACAAGACGTTACGGTCATAAACATGATTTCCGTAGGAAGTGATCACAGAATTGTTAGAGCCAAAATCAAAATTAACTCCACAACAGACAGACAAAAATTTAAACCATCTAAAAAAGAGATAGATACAGAACTTCTTAAAGAACGCAAAGAACAATACATAAACCAGCTAAAAAGAAGTGACATATCACAGCTAAAGGGTCTGCAACTAGACGAATTAAACGATACAATAACAACAGAACTACTAGAAGCAGGCTTGAAGATTGCTAATAAACAAAAGCGAAAACAACAAAAATTAGCGCTAAATCACAAGATATGCTAAAAAAACGACGACAACTACTTAATGATAACAAAAGAAATACAGTGGAGTATACCGAACTGAATAAAACCATAAGAAAACAGATAAAAGAAGATTTAAAGAAATACCAAGAAGACCGCATTAAGAAAATCATAGAGAAGAACAAAAGTTTAAAAACAATGAAGATAAATATAGGAAAAAGAAAACTAATCATGCTTAAAGCTGAGAACAATGAAGAAAGAGATCTAGGAGAAATAGTAAAAATCACCTATACAGTTCTAGATCAGGATCTAGTATCAGAAATAGTAGACCTATACAGTTCTAAAAATGACCCACCACTATCATCTAAACAGAATCTCACGAGGAAAATACAAAATGTTGGCTCAGAGGTATTACCAGAAATAACTGAAGATGAAATCGAAAAATCCATAAACGACATGAAAAGAAATAAAGCGGCCGGTGAGGACAAAATACTGGCGGAACTGCTAAAAGAAGGAGGAGACACGATAAAAGAAAATGCTAAAAATACTGTTCAACAAATGTCTGTTTGAAGGTAAAATACCCAAACAATGGAGAAATGCCAACACAATCTTAATACATAAGAAGGGAGACCGAACAGACCTAAACAATAGGGTGGAACGAAAAAGTCGAAGTCATTATTTTTTTTGGAGCTAGTGCGGAAAAGTTGCGTTTTGATGTATAATAAAACTGTAAAAAATATTTTTTGGATTTGACCCTATCTTCAGGTTCCATATTGAATTTAAATTTTTGGAAATAACAAAAAAAATAAAATTTAAAAAATTTATTTTTTTATTAGTTTTTTTTAATCAAAATAATTGTTTTATGATACAATATACATTTTATGATTGGTAGTCTGATTTTGTGTTAAAAAACGGCATATTTCTAGACTGCAACCTTGAACGAATAAAGCCATCCCTTGATTCTGGTCCATAAACAGCAGCTCATGCTTCAGTTACTAACTTAACAGTTCTTTCGACAGATTGGGTATGACAGGGGCAGTTTAAGACCTCTATTTTGTTGTGATTCCCGGAATCAATCATATCCCTTACATTTTCATTGGAAATATGTTTTAGCAAAGGCGGAGCCGTAACACTGCATTCAGAAATAGAAATTAAGTCAATATAATCTTCAGCACTAAAATTTAATGTTGGTATTTTAAATCTCCGGATCTTTTTTTTATTTCTGACTTTGTCTAGCTTTCAGCACTCTGCGTAGTCCTAGCTCCCGTATATGTTTTCGTTCATCTTTTATCATTCTGAGTAATAAATTTTCGGGATGGGCAAAATAAGCATTCCTTTGGATAACTGCATCGACAATTTTTCTTTGGTCAACTGGTAGAAATCGTGAATAATGGATCATTCGCCATAAATGTTTCGAACCATCAGAACAGCTAGGATACAGTTTTATATAAAACCAAACTGGTGCATACACTTTTTGGATGAAACTTACTAACATAATTAATTGAGGGCTGGGACATTCAGTGCCAACATACAATCGAAGCAACCGATTAGCAACTGTCAGCCACCTTGCGTGTGATATTTTCCCAGGTTTTTGAAGGCTCAAATCATTAGGACATTTTCCTGCAGAAACTGCTTGACTAATTTGGTACAAGTACTTCTGATCGGTACTAAGGTCTGTTGTTTCTAATAATACTGGTAGGTTGTTTTCTATTGCAACGAAATTGACGACAGCGAAGTTTTCCTATTGGCCCTGAAAAACCAAGTGGTCCACTGGTGCGTCCATCTAACTGTTGTATTAAATGACGTAGAGGTAGTTCGTTGCAATGAAATAAGCATACTAGCCATTGAAGTGAGGTGTCGCAGTATTCTTCCAGTTTTCTTATAACGCCTACTTGAGGGCTAGTGTTCACTACCGTAACATCGCATCCAACTGCGCTTAACTTCGATATATCAATATTATTTTTCAGGGTGAATGTCTGTATGCTATCCGCGATGTTTGCAGCCGATCCTGATAAAGGAGACACGTGCCCTAGATATCGGGAGCCTGGTTCTTCAATAATTGTTACATGTTCTTCTGTAACTTCTTTTCTATAAAACTTTTTGCCTTTTTTTGTTGCAAGACAGTCTTGTCTTTACGTCCATCACAAAATATACTTCTGATTGACAGTCCCTCCTTCTGCTTCTGGAGTGAACGTCTATGAGATGCACGCTGTCGCCTTATTTTCATTCTATCAATTACTTTCGATGTATCAGTCACAGTTATAACTCCCATATCTTTAAGACCGCTGATGCTATAATTGCAGCAGAACGATCGGAGACCCCGGTTCTGTCGCACGCCGAAGCTAAACTTGGCAAGCAAATCCGCATTTGTGACGTAGATGGTTGGACTGTAACTGTTGACAAAGGGGCAATGAATTCTTCTTCATGATCATCTGCATCAAAAGAATTTGAGTCAGACAAGTTGCTACTTATGTAACGATTTGACGAATCAACGGACGACATGCTTTAAGAACAATTTTTTCAGTATTATATTTTTGAGAACTTGCCTTTGCCTTCGTGGTTCTTTCCATTTTCTTCCTTATTGCAGCAGATGCTGCAATATCCACTGGTCCAATTGCCATTTTTCTACAGGATCGTTGATCTTGAAGAAAAATTCGCTCATTTTGTGGTACTTTCTTGGTTTTATCACAAGTACACTCACACAGTGTTCCACTCATGTTGCACTTGCAAGCCGCGATATCAAATAACTTTTCACACTCATTTCGAAACTGGAAAATCTTTGCTTTATATGAATTAGATGCTTGCTGAGTTTTTGTGTATCGCTTCAGCTTTTGATACTCTGTATAAATATTTTTGATCATATCTTGAATGCGCTTATGCGATAATGTTGGAATAGAAGCTTTTATCCATATTTCTTCTACTTTCGTTGCAACGGCATTCGAGGCGTCGGCGATAGATGGATCTTTATTATTATTTGTTAACTTAAGTTCATTACGAATAAAGAGAAAGCACTTTAGAATGTCACACTTAGTGGGTAAAACACGATCATTGAAAACACCAATAATTGTTCCTAGTATTTCACAGTTCAAACTACTTCGCGTTGACATTTCGAAGAATATGTTTATATACGACACGTCTGTGTGAGATAAGAAACTCAACATTACTGTTATCTGTTGTTGTGTCACTATGCCTGCGTGAATGGTTGCAGGATTGATGTAACATCTGCGTCTGCGTTTTTCCCTTCTCTACCTACTTGATCTACAACTGGCGTTGTTTGGAACACGTACTTCATACCATCAAGCTTCAATGGCATTATGGAACCCGACAGGAGCGTCATTTGAAATTTTGATATGGGGGTGGGGCAAGCATTATATATACCATACATTATATATGCAAACATAATACAAAATTGATCTATTTTTTGTAAATTTCAGTCATTTTCAGGGCTAGGGGGAGGGGGCAAATGCCCCTTGACCCTATCAAATGACGCCTCTGGAACCTGAAAACATCGTTTAATTTCAAAATAATTTTGCATAAGATGCTTTTCAATCCTAAAGACGACTGTTGATCACAGCCAAATCGATTTTTTCAACAAAAATATTTTTTTTTGTTTTTTTCATTTTTCAAATCCAATATGGAACCTCAAGATTTTTTTTTATTTCAAAATGCTTTCGCACCGTTTGTTTTCATTACCTGACACAACTTTTAAACGATAGCCACAATTATTTTTCTTTTATTTTATTTTTTTGGCCTTTTTCGTTCCACCCTACTAAACAACTACCGTCCTATTTCCCTTTTGTCACAACTATATAAAACCTTCACAAGAATAATAAACAACCGACTAACCTATAAACTTGATAACTACCAACCAGTGGAACAGGCCGGATTCAGAAAAGGATACAGCACAATCGACCATCTACATACGCTTAAAATCTTAATTGAGAAAACCAATGAATACAACCTTACTTAGCATTCGTAGATTATGAAAAGGCTTTCGACAGCATTGAACACTGGGCGGTTGAAGAAGCTCTGGTCAATAGTAGAATAGATTCAAGATACCGACAATTGATACATGATATTTACCAAAACGCAACCATGACCGTAATTCTGGACGACAAATTAATAACGGATAATATAAAAGTTAAACGAGGAGTCCGACAAGGCGATATAATTTCACCTAAACTGTTTACCTTGACCCTCGAAGACATAATAAAATCAACAGATTGGGAAAACAGAGGAATATGTATTAACGGAAAATACCTAAATCACCTTAGATATGCGGATCTCCTCGGAACGACAAGAACTGGAATTAATGCTGAATGAACTTCATGAAAAATCACTGCAAAAAGGCCTAAAAATTAACTTCAACAAAACAAAAGTAATGACAAACACGGAAGACCAAGAGGCAATAAAAATAAAAACAGAAAAAATAGAACAGGTAAATGAGTATATCTATCTAGGACAAGCAATCAGAGCTAATAGAGAGAATCAAACAGCCGAAATATCGAGACGAGTAAGAATGGGATGGGCAGCGTTCGGCAAACTTTCTTACGTTCTAAAAAATCAAACAATCCCTCTATACTTACGAAGCAATGTATATAACTCCTGTATCATACCGGTGCTCACCTACATGGACATGGAGCACAGACATGGACATTTACACAGGACAATTTGGATAGGATAAGGAAGGCACAAAGAGCGATGGAGAGACAAATGTTGGGTGTATCACTTAGAGATAGAAAACGTAACCAGTGGATCAGAACCAGAACAAAGACAGTAGACGCGATAGAACAAGCAGCAAAACTAAAATGGAAATGGGCTAGACACAATGAACGTCTCCAAGACGGACGATGGAACAATGCCATCGGAAAGTGGCGTCCAGACAATGCAAAGAGATCAAGAGGCAGACCACAGATGAGGTGGAAAGATGACATCAGGAAACAAGGAGGTCCCACAAGGCAGAGAACAGCTCAAGATAGGGAAAGATGGAGAGAACTGGGGGGACCTATATCAAACAATGGAAGGATAGAGAATAGGTTCAAAAAAAAAGATTAAAGTAAGTTTATTTACGTTTCAATTTCCACTTCTTCGGAAATCGTTCTCATAAAGTCTTTGTTCGTACTGGACTGCATTTGCCTTGCATAATATTTTAAAGAAACTTATATTTGGAACCTTTCATTACATGTCTGAAGTACTCAAGCATTCCTTTCTTGGTAGTTTTTATAATCTCATTAGTCTTGCTGAGACGTTCTAGTATTGTGGAGCTTCGAATCTTTATTTATCCACCCAAGAAACTTTTATTAGAATGCAATTTAATCCATGCGATTTAGATTTCTTCTATTCACAGTCCAAGACTCGACACCATAAAGTAAGACTGAGAACACGCAGCAGCGAAGTAGGAGGATCTGAAATGCCAATTTTAGTTATCTGTTACATAGATAACAATATCTTAGATATCCTTCTAAAAGTGGCTCTGTCCTGCCCAATTGTTGATTTAATTTCACTCAACTTATTGAAGTCTGGTACTATTCACGTAAATAGACGGTTTTATATTCTGTTCTTTACTTATTACGAGTATTTTGGTTTTCGGTGTGTTCAAATCCAGACCTGCTTTCTAACAGCTCTCAACAACACTGTCAAGTAATGTTTGCAGATCTTCTTCAGTAAAAGCTAGAAGTACTGTGTCGTCTGCATATCCCAAAATATTCATGACTTCACCGTTCACAATTATTCCTTCTTGTTATTTAGAAAGTGCATTTTTGAAGATTTTGAAGTAAACATTGAACAGGATTGGCGACAAGAGCTATGCCTGCCGTACTCCTCTTTTAAATTGGGAGCCTGTAATTCTAAGCTGTCTTCTACAATTTATATTTGATTTCAATACAAATTTGTGCGAACGTCTCCGACATCCAAGCCAATGTCTCTTAAAACTTCGATCAATATAAAGTTTTAACACAACCAAATGCCTTCTGGAGGTCAATAAACCAACAGTATATGTCTACAGATATATTCCGAGATAAGTACGTTCATCCCAAATATTGCATTTCTCGTTCCAAACTCGCTACGGATACCAAATTGTGTTTCATTTAGGTATAACTTGGATTTAATATGGATACGGCCTTGTATTACCTTTAACAAGGTAATGTAACCGTTTCAAAAGTTTTCGAAAATTCATTATAAATTTGATTATTTTTTTTGTAAATAAAACTACTAACCCCACCTATCTGCCAGGCGCTTGTATTCGACTCAAGGTTTCTACGGTAATTCCCAATATATCCGATAGATGAGAACGATATTAACTTGTCAATCACGCCCCCAATTCAAAACCGTTTAAAGAGCGTCGTTTCCTTTCCTGTTACAAACGTCCACCCGATAGGACGCGTTTTCGAAGTGAGTCTCTATATTAGAGGTAAGCTACAAAGAAAAGCTTTTACTTGTCTATATTTCAGATGAATAATTATTTTCAGACTCTTTTTCCGGGAAGTTAAAGTCCATTGATTATGTTAAGTTAACTGAGACAGTTTCCTATGGTCCAATACTTCCCTATATATGGTTTCCAATAATTACCTATTATATAAATGGATTATTATTAGTTAATATTTGACGAAATAACCAACGGATGAGAAGAAGCAGAGTATGTCCCTTTTTTCCTGGTTCCCAGAGATTGGATAAATAAGGTTGTACCTTTTTTTTATTAAGCCCTATCAGGAACGCGAGAATTATTTATGGATTCACAGATACAAGAATATAGTGAAATATTTTAAATTTTGTTTAAAGACTTAACCTTTCTATTATGCCTAGTTAATAAATAGATTTAACTTTTCTATTTTGACTAGTTGATAAATAACTACTATAATATTTTAAATGTAAACGAATCTCGAAATTTGGGAATAATATATAAATTCATTTGTTTCTATTAACCACTTCTTGATTTAAAAAGATAGAAAGTTGCTTTGTTTATAGTAATGTAATTATGAAATGGTATTTTAGTATCCTTTGGAAATAACAACTTTTAATGTTTTTTTTATTACTAAGAAATAAAGTGTAATTTCGCTGTAAATTTTTTTATATATCTTAATTTTTTTTATCTTTTCTCGTCCCCTGCGAGAATAAACAAGGGGTGGCGTCCAATGATAAATTATAATTTCAGTTATCTAATTGTGCTTGAAATTTTGACATACTACGTAGTTTTTTTTTGTGAAGTTGACCTTAACACGCCTTCTTTTCGACATGAGCTAACCTGACCTTGAATTAAATGTATGTACTCGATGTTATCAAAAATCGACGTTACAGTAATACATGGTCTTCTTAGGTAAAGCTATGAACAATTAATTGGACCAACCATTAGGTATAAGTCCTGCTGGTACAAATTGTATTGAAAAACGAAATTATAGCCTGTAAGGCTATAACGAAAGAGAGTGAACCTTATCCTTCAAAAATCATCTAACAAATATAACATTGTTTAGAAACTGTACAGCATAACATGGGAAGTATCGGCATTAACCCTGCAATCATCTGCTTTACGTCTAATTTTCTCGTTAGCGGAATACTATTTCTTAGTCTGGGTTAACAGCCCAGACTTGCCATAAATAGATATTTAACTAAACAACACAATGATAATGATAGCTGGTGTTGTCAAATATATTCACACGAAATGGCTTCCAGTCCTTCCAGCCACATTGCACTATCCAAATTATGACGCAACTCTCTTGAAAATAAGTACAAAAAGAGTATTTTATTAATAACTATAACCTACCAATCCAACGAGACATAGATGTTGCTTTTTATTTCCGACTTCGCTTCAGTCGCCATCCAACAAAATTAGAAAAGTCAACTGTTTAAGTAGACTTCAACCTCATGACCGCATGTACCCAAGAATGGACTGAACAACAATGCGGATCCATGCCTTATATCATTTAAAAAATCACCAAGGATCGATTTGGCACGCAACAAATGGTATATGCTGAACATAATATGAACCAAACATGGCAGTTGTAACTGAATGATGCACAAATAAGATAAATGACCATCTCCACTTTGTGACTGCAAACCATCAGACACATCGCAGAAAAGTAAAAAGTAATTATAGATTTATTTGTGAGCTTACCTCCTACAATTTATTATTTGTCAACTAATACCTACTAATACTAATAAATGAACTTACCTTCCTATTGTTGTTACACATGTGATATGCTTGCATGGTCTCTTGATCTCTTCGGGATCTCCTTTCACTTTCCCGGGGTGGGCTAGTGGAACTACCTACGCTACTCACGCTGGCTCCATCTGCGTTTCGTCGATCTCGTCCACCTTCAATATCACACTCCGACGGCGTATCGCTGTCAGAAAACCTGGAAGGTTAGAAAGATCAATCTGCGTGATTTGATCCATACAAAGCCAAACATAGAAACTTCGCATACATTTATATTAAAAAAAAAAAAAATACTTTTTTATACTAATAAATAATTTTTTTTAATTATAAATAAAATATTTATGATGAAGGAACCAAAGTATGCCACTATTGGGCATAGGCCTCCCCTGTTAATCTCCATTGGTCTCTATTTTGGGCGATCTGCATCCAGTCCTTTTCTTTCGTTCTCTTAAGGTCGTCAGTCCATCTCATCTGTTGTCTTCCTCTTTTTCTTTTCTTTTTCCGTGGTCTCCAGTGTAGAATTCGCTTATTCCACCTTTCATCTTTTTGCCGGAGTGTGTGACAGGCGAAGTTCTATTTAAGTTTTGCAACCTGTCTTGATACATCGTTCACCTTTGTTTTTTCTCTGATCCATGAGTTTCTTTTCCCGTCTTTAAGACCGATACCCAGCATCTGTCTTTCCATTGCTCTTTGTGTTTTGGATATCCTGTCGATGTTCTCCTTTGTGAAAGTCCATATTTGTGAGTTATATGTGATAACTGGTAAAATACACTGATTGAATACTTTCGTTCGCATATATTGAAGAAACTTTTTATTTTTTAGAATATATGATAGTTTACCAAATGAGGCCCATGCTAGTCTAGTTCTTCTTTTTATTTCTTCTGTTTAATTGTCCCTGTTCAGCTTTATTATCTGTCCTAGGTATATGTATTCTGCCACCTGCTCTAATTTATTCTGTTTGACTACTATTTCTAATTGGTCTTCTTGGTTTGTCATAGTCTTGGTTTTACTATAGTTCATCTCTAGACCTACCTCTGTCGCGTTTCTATCTATTTCCTCAACCATCTTGTGTATCCATTTATTCTTATTCCATATGTATCCCATCCTAATTGTTTAAATATGTCTTCCATAGCCTGATTGAACAATTTTGGTGCTATTGTGTCTTCCTGCCTGATTCCTCTTTCGAATTGTATTGGTTCTGTAGCGTGTTCGTTCGTCAATTTTATTGTGGTACTCGCATTTTTGTATATATTTGTTATTAGGTCCGTGTACCTGTAATCAATTCTGCCGTTCTGTAGTGAGTTTTTTATGGCCCAATGTTCTATGCTGTCAAACGCCTTTCGGAAGTCTATGAATGCCATGTATAATGGGATTTGATATTCGTTCGACTTTTCAATCAGTATTTTTACTGTTAGCAGATGGTCGCTAGTACTAAAACCCTTTCTGAATCCCGCTTGTTCTCTTGCTTGGTATTCGTCAAGCTTAGGTGTTAGTCTATTTGTCATGATCTTCGTTAGTAGTTTAAATACAACACTTAGTAATGTTATAGGTCTGTAGTTTTCTAAGTTCTTTCGGTCACCTTTTTTGAACATTAATAGTGTCTCCGCATCGTTCCAGCTATCGGGTATTTCTTTTGTAGTCAATATTTTGTTCATAAGGATATGTAGGACTTCTCTAGTTGTTTTCCCTTCTCTCTTCAGCATCTCTGCAGTTATTCCATCTTTTCCAGGTGACTTATGGTTTTTTAATTCTTGAATTGCTTACTTGATTTCTGTTTTAATTATTTCTGATTGTAGGTCAGAGTTTATATTCTTTATTTGTGTGTTTAATTGTTTAAGAATTTCTTGCTGTGATTTATGTCTTGTTCTGTATAGATGCGTATAGTATTCTTGTGTCAACTTTATTATTTGTTTCATATCATTAATGGGTGTTCTTTCGCTGTTTGTCATTTCATTTATCTGAGTTTTACCGAGTCGTTGTTTTAAGCATTTTATATTTTTGTTCTGCTGGATTACTTCAATCTTCGAAAGAAGAAGAGTAAAAGAAACCAAGAGAAAAACGCTTCCTGCGTTTTTCTCTTGGTTTCTTTTATGTTTTTTCTAATTGTTTTATTGATATCAGTATATTCTACTGTGTTTCTTTTGCCCTGTTCAAGTAGGCTTCTTCTTGTCTTCATCAGGTTTTCTACTTTTTCTGAGATATAATTCTGTGGTGTTTGGGAGAAACATGATAACTCCAAAATGGCGAAAATTGTGTTAAGCCCTGCACTGCATTTTGTTTTTGATCTATTTTCGTTTGATCTGACTATGGTATGTCTATCGCCTCTAGAAAATGAGCCACGGCTTGGTATAATATTGATAAGTACCTATTATTTAAATTTTGTTTGGTATAGTCCTGTTAAAATATTATATCATGTACCCGTTAACAAAACTAAACAATAACGTTTTGGTTCATATCTGATAATTGGTACTTACCATGTCTAGATCAAATAATATGCACATTCTTTTCGTAAAACATTTTGGTCCATATGTGATAATTGGTACTTACCATGTCTAGATCAAATAATATGCACATTCTTTTCGTAAAACATTTTGGTCCATATGTGATAATTGGTACTTATCATAGTTATATCAAATAATATGCAAATTATTTCGGTAATTTTATGCTATGTCCCACTTAACATCTTTGATTCAAATAAATATTATATTTAAGTGCCATTTTCTGTAAGTTTTTTATGTAAGTGGCAAATATCAAACTTTTTTTTTGTTGTTTTGTACTTATCATAATTATTCATGAGCATTTGGTCGTATTCACGAACGCGTCCATTGCATTGTATTAGTGTTAAGGTCTATCGATGACTAGTTAGTCAGTAGTTAGACTAGTCAGTAAGTCAGTATTAGTCAGTTTGTCTAAATCTTTCGAAGGCGAATGACACAGTAAATGCGATCGAGTAATTTGGTAAACTTGGCTTATAATACAAGTTTTCGTATTACAAAAATAATTGAGATGTATTTATTAGAAAGTGAACAGTCGTCTTCTAATAATGTAAGTATTAAGTTGGATAGTGTAGAACTGACTGATGTTGAATCAGCTTCATGACCAGGCCCCACTGGAAGTAAAGAAAGCAATTTGCACGTTTTAAAACCAGCACTATCTTCACCAGTAAATATTAAAGAAAATACTCATCTGCTGAATTTATTAGCTGAAACCATTAGATTCTGAACGTGAATATGGAAAAGATGATTCCGAAGACCCTCAAAACGAGTTAGATGATCACTTTACTTTGGCTCAAATAAGTATAATAAAAAGGAAGAAAGGTCGTTCTGATAAAAAACGAAAAGGTGAGGAATACATTATTGCTAAAGGTAAGAGCATTTAAGTTCAAGTTTCAATACCTGTGTCCACAAAATGTCATGAAAAAACTGCCTCTGTTGATCTAAAGCAAATTTTTAGACACTACAGAAATATGTCAACTATGGATATACAGAAACGTTATTTGATTAGTTTAATAACAGTAAATCCTAAAGAAAGAATACGGCGTGGTTACTCAGTCAAAAATAGGTAATTTACAGTTCTTTATAAGTTGGAGAATATGGATGGTAATATCTGTAAATGTTTCTTTTTGAAAGTATTTGGCGAAACCAAAAGTTTCTTAGATGACGTTGTTAAAAAAAGAAAGCATCTTTTACTTCCATCTAAGTTTAAGAAGCCATCTAATGACACTTGCAAAATCTGTGATTTATTGTTTCTGAAGATAAAAAGCTGTGCCTCCGAAGAAGAAAAACAAAGATTAGAAAATTAAAGCCAACAATACCAGAATAATGCTTCCTTTCATTATACAACAAAACAAGGCGACAAAGAAGAAAGTATGCGGAGCTTAGACAACTTGTAGTAGTTGCATGTGATTTGCAGAAGTATTTTTTTTTGTGTGTGTTTTGGCTTGGACAATTGTCATTCAGCCAGTCTCAATCAAGATAAGTTTATTAATGTAGTGTGTGTGTGTGTGTGTGTGTGTGTGTGTGTGTGTGTGTGTGTGTGTGTGTGTGTTTGTGTGTAGAGTAATTGTCTTGATACTTAGCAAAGTCGACGTCATTGTCTTTGCTAAGAGACGCTAATTGTATCCGAACGTCTGCGGTCCCTCCGGTGTGTACCGATCACACAAGGATAGAAATTATTTTCATTTATTAATTTTTTTTAATAAACGAAAATTTCCACCCAGGTGGGATTCGAACTCACGACCTTTAGATTTAAGCAGAAGTATTTGACTACACCTAATTTGACATCTAGTGTGGCTTTCTATAAAAGAAAGTTATGGACTTTTAATTTGACGATCCGCAATATCACCACAAAACGGACATCGTGTTATATGTGGCATGAAATTGTAGCTCAACGAGGAGCTGATGAGATCGCATCTTGCTTATTTCAGTTTATTAGAGACTTGCCAGAACAGGTAGAAAAAGTAGTCCTTTATTCTGATACATACTCCGGTCAAAACCGAAATAATATATTCCGGTAATATACTCCGGTTAAAAAGAAACGCCACAATTTTAGTTCCACAGGACTGAACACATTACAAAAAGGATAGTTATATAGGCTTCAAATACGCATTAGATCCCAATGAACCGTTTCGTTCAATGTCCATCCTAAGAAGAGGCAGGTCAACTTCCATGTCTAATATTCAGATACTTTCAGCTTATAGTGATCCTCTACCCACAGATTATTTGAAATATAAAGATATTCTCGACCTAATATCCTTTATAGATCCAATCTATCATGGATTTTATCATTCGCTTAAACACACTCAAACCAGTACCACACAATATACAAGCGACAGTGATGAAAATTTCGACGCTTAAGTTTTAATTAGGTGCAAGTAAAGCCATATATTTTCACAGCACTGTTTTCCAATACAAAGAAATTGACTAACAATAGTTTAAGTTCTTTTCTTTTTGACGGTTATCTCCATTAAAATACTTTTTAAATCTCTATATTTTGATACAAATATGATATGTGCCAATATATCAAAAACAGAAATGTTAAAACATATTTTGTTTGTTACATTTGTTTTAGCACTTAATAAAGTATTTAATGAAATATATTTGGTTTTTAATTTGGTTGCCTTCGATTTAAGAAACCTTCTGGAATGTTAAAATTGCTCTACTGAAAAACATACATTTTGGTGTTAACATATGTCTCCCAAACACCACAGAATTGTTCTTTTTTGTCTTCGATTTTGCAATTCTTTCCCCGGCCTGTAGCAATATAGTTGTTAGTATTTCATTTATTTCGTTTGTTTCTTTATTTATTAAGTCGGCTGTATTTGGGATGTATTTTTTTTATTTCTTCTTTGTACTTTTCTTCGTTTTGGCTAAGTTTATCCATATCTAGTTTTTGTACGTTTTTGATTTTCTTTCTGGTTTCAAATTGGCTGTTAATTTGTATCTTAGCCTTCACCATTCGGTGATTGCTGCCTGTTGTGAAACGGTTTAGCACTGTGACATCCTTGACTACGTATTTTTGTGTTGATAATATGTAGTCGATCTCGTTCTTAGTTTTGGTGTCAGAGCTTATCCAGGTCCATTTTCTCTGTAGCTTCTTGTTGAAAAAGGAGTTCATGGCGTATAGTTTCCTTACCTCCATGTAGTTCATCAGGGTTGTCCCTCATTCGTTTCGTACACCATATCCATATTTTCCTATTTTTGATTCTTCGTCATTTAGTGTTTGTTCTAGCTTGGCGTTGAAATCTCCCATCACAATTGTTAGTCGGGTCTTTTCTTCATCCAATGCTTTTGATATATTAACTTGAACTTGAATATTATTCTTTTAAATTTATAAAACAGTTGACGGTGGGTAAAAATATATTAATCATCGGATATCGGGTAAAAATATATTAATCAATAATCTTTAAACTTAAACTTCATCACTAAAATTAAACTCCATCATTTATCTTCTTACATCCATTCGACACTTTTAGTGTGTGGACCCCATTACCAGTTACCACCTATACTACACATTTCAGGAGAAGAAGAAAAGATAAAAAAAAAGTATAGTAAAAGTATAGATTTTGTGAAAATAGTAGTGTCAGCAAGTTTTGAAAGCTGATGAAAAGGGTGCAAAATTTGTAAGTACCAATGCATTATTATTCCCGGAGAGATTCGTAGTTAAGCAGATAAGGTCAATCCTGAAAGGAGATATAAACGTGAGTCAGGACGTTTGTTTTTGATCGACAGGACTGTTTTAATAAGCAGAACCTGGCAAGGAGTTTTTTTTTCGATAGAGAATCAATTAAAGTGAATCATTATCATAAAGTGCAGAGAAAAATTTATTGAGACGATACAATAGAATGGACTAATTTTCATATTGTAATTTTATATGTAAAAGCTATACGTTTTGGGAAACATTTATTTCTAATGGATTTTATTATTTGTATAAAAAGTTTTAAAAGGTTTAATTTACTATTATTTTTTAATTATATTGCACAAATTTGAGTTTTTTTTTATTTATTTCTTCCTCTTCTTATTGAACACTATTGAAGATAAAGGTATTTTATTAACTCTGATAGGAACCCTGAGAGAAGAAAACAAAAAATTGGCGTCGTGAATAAAATTTATTTCTATATTCGTAATCTCTCTCTCTTCAATCCTGACCCCCCAGGGGGAGTGTAGTGGTCGACGTGATGTCGTGTATTGTCCGTCTCCAGAGATCTCTGTCTTTGGTCATTTCTTTTAATTCATGCATAGGTCTTTGGCATATTCCTGTAATTTGATCTATCCATCTTGTTGAGGACCTTCCTAGTGATCTTCGGCCTTCTACCATTCCTTGTATTATGAGTCTTTCCATGTTTTCTGTGTTTGCTCTCATAACATGCCCAAAATATTTTAATTGTTGGAGGTGGACTTTACTAGAGAGTCGTTGGCTAACTTTTAGCTCTCTTAAAATTGAATTATTTGTTCTACGGTCGGTCCAAGGAATTCGTTACATTCGTCTCCAACAGAACATTTCAGTAGCGTCTATTTTTCTTCTCTCCGATTGTCTCAGAGTCCAAGATTCACATCCGTAGGACAGTATTGGGAATATTAAGCAGTTGATCAACCTCATCTTTACCGCTCTTGAAATTTGACAGTCCTTCCATATTTTGGTCATTTTTTGCTGTGGCAACTTTTGCTAGATCACATCTACGTTTAATCTCTTCTTGTAATGATCCTGTGTTTGTGATTAATGATCCCAGATATAAGTATGAGCTCACAACCTCGAACCAGTCAATTGTGGTTATGTGTGGATGACTGTTGTGTAGTCTATCCACTATCATGATCTTTGTCTTTCTTCTTCTTCTAGTTCCATGACCGTTATCGATCGTTGGATATCATGTTGGCTACCATATTCGCTATCGTGACTTTATTGACAGCAGCTCTAAATAACGATGTAGTTGATTTTCCATACCATTGCCTTAGATTTTTCAGCCATGATGTTCTTCTTCTACCAGGACCACGATTACCTTGGATCTTTCCCTGAATGATCAGATGTAAAAGATCATATTTTTCAGGGTGTCTCATAATATGACCGAAGTATTCCAGCTTGCGTTTCTTTATTATATTGACCAGTTGTGTTGTTTGGTTCAGCCGTCTAAGGACCTCCTCATTTCTAACTCTGTCGACCCAGCTTATTTTCAGTAGTCGTCTGTATACCCACATCTCAAAGGCTGTCAAGCGTTTAAGCATAGCCTCAGTTAGGGTCCACGCTTCTACTCCATACAGCAGGACAGGAAAGATGTAGCAAGATATCATACGAACTCTAAGGTCAATGCTAAGATCATGACTGCAAAGTAAGTTTCTCATTTTTACAAAGGCAGCTCGGGCTTGTTCTATTCGGCTTTTAATTTCTGCGGTTGGATCCCAGCTCTCATTGATATTACTGCCGAGATACACGAGTTTCTCTACTCTGTCCAGTGTGGCATCTCCGACTTTTATACCGTCATCATGTATATAATTTTGTTTGCTAACTATCATATATTTAGTTTTCTTAACGTTGAGTTTTAGTCCATACTGATCACAAGTCTGTTTTATTTTGTTCATTAGATTTTGAAGGTCTTCTCCGCAATTGGCAAGGACTAAGGTATCGTCGGCATATCTAATATTGTTGACGGTTACTCCATTCACAATAATACCTTCGGTTGTCTCCATTAAGGCTTCCTTAAATATTTCCTCCGAATATAAGTTAAAAAGTAAAGGCGACAATATACAGCCTTGTCTCACTCCTCTTTTTATATTTATTTCATCCGACAGTTCTTGTTCAACCTTTATTCTTGCTACTTGATGCCAGTATAGATTTGTAATTATTCGTAGATCTTTATCGTCCAATCCAGCTGTTTCCAATATTTCTAGCATTTTGTTATGTCGGACTTTGTCAAAAGCTTTTTCAAAATCGATTGCACAAATATACACATTTTGATTTATATCTCTGCATCTCTGTACTAGCACCTGTATACTAAACAAGGCTTCTCTTGTACCCAAGCCACTCCTAAACCCAAATTGAGTATTGCTAATTCTGTCCTCTAACAGCGTATAAATTCTGCTGTGTATTACTCGCAGAAAGATTTTCAAAACGTGACTCATCAGACTTATTGTCCGATAATCACCGCATGTCTTTGGACGATGTTTCTTAGGTATTGTGACAAATGTCGACTTTAACCAATCAGTTGGTAATATGCCAGTGTCATAAATTCTGTTAAAGAGATTACACAGAGCTTTAATTCCATTTTCTCCCAAAAACTTTAGTATTTCAGCACTTACTTCATCGGGGCCAAGTGCTTTTCCATCTTTGTCTTTGATATGTTTAATTGCAGAACAAATATTTGACTTTCGTTTTCGATCAGTCCTATAAGTTCTATCGGCTCTGCTTGACTATTTGCAAGAAGGGCTGTGTCAACTGCGAAACGTAGGTTGTTTTGTTTATGACCATTTATTGAGATGCCCTTTTCCCATCCTTCAAGTGCTCTTCGCATAATATACTCCCCATATATGTTGAATAATTGTGGAGATAGTATACATCCTTGTCTGACACCCCGTTCTGGATGAAATTCGTTCGAAAGTGTGTCAAGTACTTTAACTGATCCAGTAGTGTGTTCATATAGTTCGGTTATAAGCGTAATTAGATGTTGTGGTACGCCTACTTCTTTTAGTATTCGCCATATTCGTAATAATCGACAACTATGATCATTGGCATGGTACAGTCAGGAGACAGGTACCTAGTGTAGTGTGTGTGTGTGTGTGTGTGTGTGTGTGTGTGTGTGTGTGTGTGTGTGTGTGTGTGTGTGTGTGTGTGTGTGTGTGTGAGTAATTGTCTTGATACTTAGCAAAGTCGACGTCATTGTCCTTGCTAAGAGACGCTAATTGTATCCGAACGTCTGCGGTCCCTCCGGTGAGTACCGATCGCACAAGGATAGAAATTATTTTCATTAATTAATTTTTAATAAACGAAAATTTCTCCACGCAGATGAGATTCGAACTCACGACCTTTAGGTTTAAAGGTAGGCGCTCTTACCACTGAGCTACAGAGGGGGTTAATAATTTTGTTTTGTTTTAATTATCTAGTTGGATCATAATTAATTTAATTATTGTTCTCTCCTATTTCAAAAATAGGCTTTATAGGCCCAAGGATTCTTTAATTTCTTCCCTTTTCTTCTTTCTCTATTTTACTAATCAAATGGCTGTTCTTCCTTTTCTGCCCTACCTTATCCGTCATCTTTTTCTAAAATATCTTAACTCTGTTTTATTTATTTTCTTTTATTCATTTTCTTTATTTATTTTTTCTTTATGTCATAGCCCTTTTGTTTCATTGCTTTTGCTAAAAACTGCTATTGGATGATCTCCAAAATAAATCCATTACCTCATTTTCTTCTTAAGCGGATAAAAAATTTTGGTAAAACCGAAATTATATGTTTGCGCGTCTCTACAATCTAGTACTATTAAATCAACGGCTACTGCGGCCCCGCCTTTTTACATGACCATACATTTTGTGTCTCTCAGTAAATTTGAATATTCTTCTTTTGAAAATTTAAAAGCTAACAACTAAGCAACAATAAAAATATATGTATTACAATATAAATAATAAAAAATACAGTATTTTAATAAAAACTACGGAACTGACCTGGACCCTGTACTAGGTGGCGAGAGATGTTCGCTTGGTGTCAGAGCAATTTCTTCATGAGGACCCAACGTTCTCCACGTTGGTTGATTCTCCAAAGGCCACAATTCAACAATAGCTTCTCCTAAAAAATCATTCGCTCCATATCTAACATAATCCCATACTGTTATTTCTAAAGCACGAAGTCGGAGATCTGCCCTCCTCAGTCCTGAGTATACAAATGTCTGGTTCCACATAGGCTCCGTAGTTCCTAAAAAATAATAGTCATAATAAAAAAGCTGTATGCAATGTAAATATAAGTAAATATAAAATTTTAAATCTTAAAGCACTTTAAAGCAATGCTTCTTGAAAAAACAATTTTTTAAAAATATTTAAGCCAAGTTATTTAAGCCAATTTCCGTGAATGGTTTGGATGCAGTTCAATTGAACTATTCAGGTGCATAACCAACAAAATTATAATTGCCAATCTCTGATAGGAGTGACACGTGAAGAAGAAGAAATAATTTTGTTTTATTGGGTATTCATTTTATTTTGTTGACAGAAGTGAAGCAATAGTTTAGAGAACTGAAATCGAGTGGTGTAGATCTATATAATACAAATTTTTCTTGTTGATATTTTCTTCAAAATATATTTTCTTAAAAATAATTTGAAAATAAATACTGGGAACATATTTAAAAATAGGTACTGAAAAGATATTTATTGATCTTCCCAATTTTTAGCTCGTAGCTGTTAATGTAGTTTTTGAGATACTTAAGAAGTTAATATTTTCGTTGTACTGTATCGTCAGGCAGTACACCCTTCATTTCTAAAATTGATTTTGCAATTATAAACTTGTTACCAAATCCATCTATTCTATCAAAGATATATCAAACAGAAAATCATGAGTTACAATGTCATAATTCTCGATTAAATGGAATATCTGTTAGCCAATAGACTTTAACAATGCTTTTGATTGTGTAAATGGCTGTAGATCTAGAGTGCGGATAGGTAACAAGCTCTCAGAGTCGTTTGAAATAAACAGTGGACTGAAACAAGGAGACGCGCTGTCACCGCTTCTTTTTAATATAATCCTGGAAAAAGTAGTAAGAACCGCACAAATTAAAACAGAACTACAAATGGACCAAAATTACTACTAGCATACGCGGATGACATTGACATTGTAGGAAATACCGTCGCCAATGTAAAAGAAACCTTCAATAAATTGAGAGAGAGGCAAAAAATACCGGTCTAAGGGTCAATGAAGAGAAAACCAAATATATGTGCATTAACAGACAAAAGAGACGAAATAGAATAGGACAAAATGTAACAATAGACCCCTATAACTTTGAAAGAGTGGAGAGTTTTAAATATCTCGGAGCGACTATCACTACAGATAACGATATCACGGAAAAGATAAAAGGGAGAATTCAGGCAGCAAACAGATGTATGTATAGCCTCCACAACACTATTAAATCCAAGAGCCTAACACGAACATCAAAAATCAGGATATATAAAACAGTAATTAGACCGGTGCTCATGTATGGGTGTGAGACGTGGACGCTGACAAAAGCAATGGAAAGTAAACTCAGATGCTTTGAGAGAAAAATCCTCAGAAAGATCTTCGGTCCCTATTACGATCCGAATACTAACCAATACCGAATCAGAACAAATGCCGAGGTCAAACAAATGTATAGTGCTAGCGACGTAGTCCAAGAGATTAAATCAAAACGTTTAAGATGGGCTGGCCATGTTCATAGGCTCCCTAATAACCGCCTTACCAAGTTAATCTGGGAAGAAGTTCCAACAGGGAGAAGGCCCTTAAGACGTTCACGAATGCGATGGAGAGATAATATATGGTCAGATTTGAGAACAATGGGGCTACCCACTGACTTAAACATCATGGACGACCGTTCGAGATGGAAGCAGGTTGTGCAGTCAGCCAAAACCCACCCCGGGTTGTAGTGCTACCAGAAGAAGAAGAAGAATGCTTTTGATTATTATGACTGTATGGAACTACAGTGGTATCTCGATATACAAGTGCCCTAATAGACGAGTGCTTTAAGATACAAGCTACCGAGCGGGCGATATTTTGCTTTGAGATAGGAGCAAGATTTGAGATACGAAAAAATTTTACACTACACCTGCAGTGTCTAACAGTTTCTCGCACCTCAGACTAGATATCAGTCTGTGTGCTTGTTTTCTTCGCTTTAGAAGTATTTTTGAAGTCGGGTTCCCGTTTTTTGCTTTTTGTATATTTACAAAACATTCTCGCATTAATTTTTATAACCGTGGGTCCAAAGAAGAAGATGGTGTCTATTAAATTAAAGCGTAAACTTATAGAAAATCATGTGCAAGGTGTGCTAGGAATTGGCTTGGCGAGGATGTACTGGCGTAGCACAACAATGATATATACTGTGCTTAAACAGAAGGAGTTAATAAAGAGGTACGAAACTATCTCTTTGGAAATATGGAGAAACTACTGATAGCGTGGATAACAGAGAAGCAGCTTCAAAGAGGAGCCTTAAAACAAAGCATTATATGACAGACGGCAGGAACGGTTTACGGTAATTTGCTGAAGCAGGTCCCACACACTTAAAAGAATCGGAAGACTATTTTGAAGCTAGTTTGGGCTATTTTGATAACTTCAGGAAAAACACTGGCATTCACTTTGTCGTCAGGCATGGTAAGGTAGCAAGTTTGCACGTAAAGGCAGCTGAGGTTTACATTAAAACGTTTTCCAAACTGATAGAAACTTGTGGATACATCCCGCAGAATGTCTTCAACTGTGATGAGACAGTGCTTTTCTGGAAAAAGATGCCGAATAGGACTTATATAACGGCAGAGGAAAGGACAAAGCCAGGTCACAAACCCACGATGGATAGATTAACTCTTTGCGCTAATGCGAGTGGCGACTGCAAAATCTAACCTCTACTACTATACCATTCAGAATATTCCAGAGCCTTTAAGTCACATAAAATTTTAAAAGAAAAACTTCAAGATATGTGGAGTGCAAATCCGAAGCAGTGGCTTACCAAGAGATTCTTTGTGGAGTGAATAGACCTCGTGTTTGGTCCTTCTGTTAAAATAATATCAACAGGAAAACAACGTACCCATGCAAGCCCTTCTTGTCTTCGACAGTGACCTTGCTCACCCACCAAATCTCCAAGATGATTTACTTGAAGGGTTCAAAATTATAAAGGTTTTCTGCCTATCATCGAACACCAGTCATACCCTACAGCCTATGGATCAGCAGGTACTTTCTAATTTTAAGAAGTTGTAAACCAAATACAATTTATCAGCGCTGCTTTGAGACGACGAAAACACAAACCTTACCCCAGCCTACTTCTGGTCTTGATCTTGTCTTGAAATCAAGACAAATCTTGCAATTTTCAAGAATATGGAAACGAGTAAACACTAGATAGGACAAAAGAATAAAACAATCACATCAGTAGAATAGAGGACACAAGAGTAGTTAAAATACGAAGAAACAATTTGTAGCATTTTGAAAGTCCTTATATGTATATGTATATGTATATGTATTAAATTGAAATCTCCTCATATATGTATTAAAATAAAATAACGAAGAATATTTTCCATGTTTCCCTCTTTCTAGAGGAAGATGTTTATGTCACGGAAGTGTGTAGTGGCAGTTAATTGTGCAGTATGTGTAATTACAAAGGAAGTTAAAATAGTATTTAAGAGATTTGTGTCGCCTGCAGCAATTTTGATGTTCCAGTTTCCTGTTTTTTTAAGAAGTCCAGTCTGAAGTTTGTATCTAGTACCGCCTAGTTTAATCCTCAATGTCCTAAGCGGCCGTTTCGAGATATTTTTCCCACAGTTTGTAGATACAGTTTTTGCGTAGCAGAGAAGATAACCCCGGGAAATTTAAGTGCAATTTTTTTGGTGAATTCAGGTAACTTTTTTAGTGATTAAATCTTTAAGTAAAGATAGACATTTTTTTAAGTAATAATTGCTTTCATAATTGCGTAATTTAAAGGAACTGTAATAATTAAAAAATTGTAAATTTTAGGGTTTGACTTTAGCTATCAATTTATTTGTTCTCAGATTTAAAATTTAATCTTAACATATAATAGGTAGCTTTGTTATTTTTGTATAATATATATAAAGAAGGTTATCCTTCATGCACTAAGAATTATTTGTAAGTTTTTGTAGTATCTCCAACTCGTAGAGTTTGTAGACAGATAGGACACACGTAAGTTTTTCTATGGTATTATTGTACTCTGTAACCGTCTGTATAGTAATTTATGCCATCTATTTTTGTAACTGTTTGTAGTGAGACACAATAAATTTTAAATTTTTTTGCTAAACCATTTTGTTTATTTTTTTAACTAACCCTTTTTTGAGTTTTATGTAAAAAGATATTTTTTATTTTTAATAATTATTTCAATGTTACACCTAGCTGTTGTAATCGTTATAATTTAGCACCTCGAAGCGGTGTCCTTTTTAAATTGCTAGAGGTGTTTCCTTCCTGTGTTTTGTTTTGTTTGTCCCAAGAGATTCATGTTAGTACACCTTTGCTTCATTTTTTTTAGTTGCCCCAATTCGACCACTTGCCATTTACTTACACCAGCTCTCCAAACAAACCCTGAGTACCGTTTATTTTGCTTGCCCTATCTCCACCCCCATAGTTTCTGTCCCTAATTTTCTACCCCTTATAATAATACCCTGAGAACAAATAGAAAATTATATAACAACCTTAAAAATAAAAAATTGGAGGAAAAAAGCACGAAACAGAACAGAATGGAGAAGAATCCTGGAACAGGCTAAGACCCAAAAACGTTTGTCGAGCCAGTGATGATGATGATGATAATGATGTATAATAATACCCTATGTGGTAGGCAAAATATATTCGTTACAAATTTGTGTGGTAGAAGAAGTATCGGCCGACCGCGCCAGAGATAAAGTAGCAATCTTCCATAAAGGCGTAACCCGCCAATAAACAAGCAAATTGCTTTTATAAAGAAAGAAGAAAACAAACTTCTTCGGGTTTAGTTTTAAAGAAAAATTATTGATAGTCGTGACAGATATCTTGCTAATAATGCAAAGGTAAATGAAGTACAAAGTTTTCATTCCCCAATCCGATGTAAATGTTAACAATGGTATATGTTTGTACAACTTAATTAACAACAATTAATAAACTCCTCACGACAGTCTACCACGCAACAAAGTTACAAAGACGTATTAAATAATAGAAAATATATTTATTTACAAACAACGAAAGTTCCTTAAGAAATTTATTTTATTTTACAT